GGCTCATATAAACTCAGTTATTCCCCGTCGAAGACTCTTTGGCAGAACCTATTAAGCGATTCCTCACCCAATGAACACATGGACTGCGAGTGAAGACCATTACAAGAGTTTATATTGAAAATACAGTATAACTATACTATTTTGTAATCCATTATTATTATCATTATTTATATTTGGTTTTTTTATTTGTGTAAAATTAATGTACTATTACTTAAAACTAATGCTAATTGTATTCAATTAAAGACTATATGACAAGAATTGAGTGACAGATATTTAGTGATGTAATTGGTGTCAACCCATGCGTTTGGTCTGAGCCTTAATACCGGTGCGCCTGTACTCTGACCTCTGGTTCAAATAGATGTCTTCGCACTGGTGTCGGAAGTGTTGGTTATTATACCAATCGGTGAGACAGGCCTTCATTCGGCTGTTTTCTGTCCGACACTTAAGCACCAGAAGAATTGAATTCTCTTTACAACAATCGTTGAAAGCTATGAATGAGACAACCATTCAATACATGTCAACACATGTCATGCAATCGGCGGTCAAATGACAAACCCTTCACAAAATCGGTGCACTTCTCTGTCCGCGCCTTATCTCTCATAATCTTCGGGATGAGTATCTCTTTCTCCACTCTCCGCAAAGACCTGTCCTCTGGATCTCCTGTTTGTGGCCATAAATGAGTGAAAATTAAACTTTTAACTCAAGAATCAGATGCAGTGATCACTCAATGGCTTATAATTACCCAACCCTTTGGGACCGGACGACAGTTTGTCCGACAAAACTGATGTCATTTTCAGTTTAAACGATAAAATTATAATAAATTAATTTATAAATCATTTATAATTTGATTAAAACTATAGTTTAATTCACAATCAAATCGACACTCAATTCAAAACATTACATAAAAATAATTTTCATTCAAACCATAAGTAATGTCCAAAATATGCGACACTTTTGTACGGCTTTCGCATCAAAACTAACACTGATTTTTGAGACATAATTACCGGTCATTGAGTCAACACATGTGCTCTGAATCTGCGGATCAATTGAATCAGTAAATTGTGATTAAGTGGTGAAGATATCGGCGACAATATGCCATTCGGTGCTCCCCCTCCTCGTAAGTCTGGTGGCAGTGGTTCCAGAGGTTGGGTCCAGAAGATGAAGACACTATATAACGATCCCTTCCAGTGGTAAGTCATGTCTTCTGAATGTGTG